TGGTCCATTAGGTCCAGACCTAATGATCAAAGACAAGAAATGCTGCAACAAGAGCTTTTATTTTAACACCTGCAGGAATTGCAGCATAACCTTAACAAGGCCAGATACCTTCCCTGATACCTGATGTCTCACAGCCTACTCTCCTTGATCTGTGTTCTGGGATTAACCTCACTCTCCTTGGCTCTGCTACTGTTGTTGGTGGCTAGAGCCTCAAACATGCTACTCTGGATGCTGCCTTCTAAAAGCCCAATTCTCATTCCCCTCCTATCTTTAGATGACATATGGCTTGTTTAGACACCTTGCTTAGAATTGCTGATCCAGGGTAGTTTGGTAATTTCCAGTTATATTGTATTTAACGCAGTTCTGCCATATATACAGTGAGGCTCATGTGCATAAAATTCATGCAAGGCATAGGTTGCCTGGACAAAAAATCAGTGTTCTAAAATATATTAAATATATCCTTGTCACTACTTTCCCCCTTCTTTTTTGGAGTTTAAAAATTATGTGGAAAACTTTCCACTAACTTTGAGTGACTTTGATGTATGCTTATTTTTGCTGGTCTAGTAGTAAGATTACTTTGAAAGCAGCTAACACATTAAAAGTTGCTTCTATCAGTATCATGCTGCAATCAATGGAGTGGAACTGTCATTTGTATGCGGTATATTTGGACAGCTTGTTATTAAATAGCTAGTTAGAAGCTAATTAAGAAAAAAATAGTTATAGTTCTACACTTCCTGGAAATTTCCTGCCACCAGAAACATGGACCCTTACTGTAGCTATTGTATACTGTGAGAACTATAGAATAAAAAGGTGGAGAATATATGTAGAATTTGTGGTAAGTTGTATATTTTTCTCTTTCTTTACTTGGAAATGCAGTTAAATTTCACAGCTCTGAATTTTTTCTGCCAGGCCTGACATATTAGTATTCCACTGGCAGCTGCCTATAGGTAGTAATATTGTTTTGTTCATAACCAGAGGGAACAATCAGACTAAGCCATTCTCTGACTATAAACCAGCCAAAGTAATTGGGTTTAATTTTAATTTTTGTAATAGCTTTAAATTAATAGAAGCAGCTGCTGCCACAGTGTGTGGGTGTCCTTTTCCAGTAGGCATGCAATGAAAAGAGGGAAAGGGTAAACAGTGTACATCTAGGACAGAAGGGTTAATGCAAGAGCTAAACAATGCCTTTTTCTTATGAAAAACTCAGTTGGCCATATCTAGTATCCTGTCCTTTATGTTTCTCTGTTTTTCTTCCCTTCCTCCCTTTTTGATTCCCAGATAAGATCTAAATCTGATTAGGCTTCTTTATGTAAAGGTGTCTATTGGTATTGGAACAACGACTCTCCTTTTCCATTTGACTTGGGAACAGATTAGCACTGACAAAATGTTAAAAGCGATAAGAATAGATTAACAGCCCCATGCGTCCCATTACAATTATACTGAGAGAGTGCAGGGAGAATCTGTTCAATCAAATAAGGTTTTAGGTGTTTTTCCCCATCTGAAAGTTAGGATTCAAAAAAGTGTAAGTTCTCCTGGGGAAGTGAAATTATAAAACAGGAAATCCTAAATTCCATATTTAGTTGCAGTGAGTTGTCTCCAGTGTTATCTTGTCTTCTCCACCAGAAGGCAGTCTTGGTAGAATAGATTTCCCCTTTCTTCTGTAGCTTCCTGAGCATTCACTTACCCTACAACCAGCTTTACGTGTTTAGGAACACATTAGAGGACACTTGGGGGCATGTTTTCAGGAGGAAAGGAAAGGGAGGTCTTACCACACTTATACAGGGTATAAGATGGAACCTAGTTTCCCAACTCATCTGCAAATCAATTTTATTAAAACTGACAAGAAACTGAATATTTTCTGTTACAGCACAGAAGACAGTAAGGATATTAAAATGTAAACCTAGACAAGGACACTTTGGTGCAAGAGCCAAATTAAAAGCTGCTGAAGGAGCAAGTGCTCTGTATCATGTGAACTAGTAACAAATAAATCGGTTTGCTTTTCCAAGTTCTGTTGTTTTGATTAATCCATTCACTTTCCTTTTGACAATTTTAAAACCAAGTTGTACTGGCTGGCAACATACCAAGTACATTTCCATTCTGTTTTGAGGTCTTAGAACTACAGTACGTTTTCCCACAGCCATATAATCCTCTTGATTTCAGATCCAAGTGAGAAGATAGCAAACTGAAGGTGCCCTAAGGTGACACTCATTGTAATTCTGAATTGGTATCTAAAGTAATATGCTTCTTTGCACCAGTTACTGGCATCATACCAGCAAGCAGCACTGTATTGAAGCTTGTATGCCCCATGTGACCTTCCATAGGTTAACCACTTAGGAACATAATAGTTTGATCTGATTCTACATGGCTTTCCATACGTTTTTGATTTCTCCATCTTGCTTCTGCCCCTTTATCTTTGTGGTCATTATAAAACTCTGTTTATGGTTGGGTAACATCATAGTCAGCACTACATTAAAAAAACCAAGGAGCAGCAATAAAGAGTGAACTATTTCATTCACTGGGGTTCAAGAATCAGAAGTGAAGGAAGGACAAATAATTTTCTATTTTCTCTCTAAACAACTGTTTCACAGGCCCTTTATTATGTTTTGTCAGGAAGATTTCGATTTTGCTTTGCATACTCCTTAACTGTTGCTAATAGGAGAATATGTCATTTTCCTTAATGAGAGAGCTCTTTCTTTCATTTCATATTAGCAATGAAAAGGCAGAACTGATCTTCTGCAGTTGCCTGGTTTCTCAGGACAATTATGATAGGACACATTACCATTGCTATGTCTGTAAATCATATTATGTTTTCCTCACCATCATTACCCAATGGCAGCGGACTTCTTCTACAGGCATTATATGGGACCTGTTTATTATATTGCTTAATTGAATAAGCTAGCGTCTGCAGGATGATAGCATGTTTTTGCCAAATAGGATTGGAGAATTGTTATATTTGATTATAAGACTGTTGTGGAGTCTCTCCAGATAGATAAGGAGAAAAAGCCTATGCCTATAGGCTGCCTGAATTTTCTAATCACCTTGCCAAGACTGGTGCATAATCATATTGAATTTTAGTGCAAGTGCAATGATGCTGTATAGATCAAAGTTCTCTCATTCAAATTAAAATTTTGAAGCTGTTCCATTGGCTGATTTCTCTACTATGGTTTTTTCCCCTATATCACCAGAACTTGCACTCCCATTGCCTCTGTATTACAACTCAAGTTATGTTATGTATTTTCTTTTCTTTTCTTTTAATAATTATTCCTTTCATATAGGAATAGTACAAAATGTAAAAATCAAAAAGGGGAAATCAGAATTAGTGAAGATAAAAACTTTTTTAAAAAGGAGATAAAAGGCATAAAAAGCATAAAATAAATATTATAAAAGTAGAGGGAATTTTCCAAGCCTAATAGGAGCACAGAACCAAGTGGTAAGATTTGCTCTTTGCAATCAGTATCATTGGGAGCACAACAATTCTGCCAGAGTAGAGAGATTTCTCATTTTCTTTATATGTAGAGCAATACAGTATTTTTAAAACCTTTCCCTCTATCATTAATGTGTTTTTATATTTTGTCATGTTGCGTTTAGGTGGCTGAACCAGCACAGTCAGTCAGAGATTAGAGTGCTGGACTGGGACTCAGGAAACCTTGGTTCAAATCCCACTCCACCATGGTTGCATGGGGTGACCTTGAACCAGCCATGCTTTCTCAAAGTGGCCTGCCTCACAAGGATGGTTGTGAGTGTGAAGCAGGGAGGATGAGAGGCATGTACAGTATGCTACCTTGATCTTGTCAGAGGAAAAGATAAAAATAATTGTGATTAAAAGTAAAGAAATACAAACCTACTAAAAGTGCTCTTACTCTCACATCTTGCCCCAGGCTTGGAAGTAATCAGTTACCTGTAACAAGCTACCCTTTTGTGTGAGTAGCTAGGAAGCAATAACATTAAATCTCAAAAGCAATGGAAAAAGTAGAGCAGAATTTACTTTATTGGGGTAATGCTTCTAGCTACTTTTAGAAGTTATCTTTATAGTGCTTCAGAGGTATTTTGGCAGAATTTTTTTCATGTTTCATACCCCACTCTCTTAGCAATCCTGTTCTGCCCACAGAAGTTAATGAAAAATAATGAGCAATGTAGTGAGTTGTATATTTAAATATAGTGTAAAAAGTAATGACATAAAATTACATTTCAAAATGAGAAACAGAATTACACTGCAGAAGTGCAGTTTGCTTGTTTAGTCATTTTTACTCCATGATGGGCCTGGGCCTGCCATTAAATGGGATGAACTGGCCATCTGTGATGGCAGACTTGGGGTTTTATGAAAAGGTGGGCATTTAATTTGGTTAATGAATTTTTAGTGCCAGGATGTGAACAGGCACCTCACTGGCCAAAATAATTTGGCACCACACTCCTTACAAGATGGGCTGACTTCCTAAAGGAAGCGATATGCTTGGGTTTACAAGAGCTGAGCAGGGCAGTTGAGGCCAGGACATTTTGGAGAGGGCTCATTCCCAGGGCCGCCATAAGTCGGAGGCAACTTGGCAGTAGAACAACTCCTTAAATTGAGTAGGTAGGTGTTGCCATTTGTGAGTCCACCTGGAGCAACAAAATGTCTTGGGCCAGGCTGGTCTTACTAACTGCTTTTTGCATAACTTAACTGTGAATTTACTAGAGAATTTTAATTACCACATTCTTTTCTGAAATAGGAAAAGAAATTCCTTAATTTTGAGTTAGATTTCCATGATTAAACAGATCAAACAGTCCTTGTAATTCTTTTGCACATCATATAGTCTTTCACTGATACTCTCCCATAAATTCTGCAGTTTGGTAGCATATTTAATAGCACATAACAATGAACCAAACATCCTGGCTTTAAAAATTCACATGCATATGCACACCCAGCAGATGACCTTGAAATATGCTTCCATTTGACTTTACAATTGCATTTTAGTCTAATGTATAGATTATGATTCTTGCATATGTCATATTTTATCTTTTAGGCAGAGGCTGCCACCTAAAAATGTGTATTACTACCGCTGCCCTGACCACAGAAAGAACTATGTTATGTCATTTGCTTTCTGCTTTGACCGAGAGGATGATATATACCAGTTTGCTTACTGCTACCCATACACTTATACTCGGCTTCAGCATTACCTTGATAACTTACAGAAAAGGAACATGGACTACTTTTGCAGAGAGCTTCTCGGACTTAGTGTGGTGAGTAATAAGTACATTAACCACTCAGAATGTTTTCTTATCAATGCCTGCTCCTAAACGGTGATACAGAAGAAACATTCATCATCTCAACTAATGGGCCCATACACGTATTTGTTTTTGTTGCTCTGAAACACATAACACAACTTAGCTGCAGAGTGAAATATAGGCAAATACAGCTTGACTGTGATTTGGAGCATGATAAGGGAATTGCCACACAGCATGGATTTTCACACCATAGATACTAAGTGCAAAATATAGATGAACAAGGTGGCACTGATTTTATTGATAACATCCTCTCCCTCTCCCAAGTCCCCAGGATTTTGTTGGGGGAAAAATAAAGTTTTCCCCCTAATTGGGTGTTATTTTGTGTGAATCTATGTAAAACCTGTACACATATTGTGCCCTTCATTTATGCCTGCTGTTGCATAAGAGGTAAATGTTAATAAATGCCATTTAGGAGTTTTGCCAGGGCTAGCTATTGATAAGCCACAACCAGGCTGGTTTGGGCTTTCTGGTTTATTTTGCCAACCCACTGCTAAATAGATTTGTTTGCCAGTTGAGAATGTGGCTCATGACCTTAAACACCAGCACAATCTGACCCATGTTCAAAACATTTACCAAGCCTCCAAAACTACGAACACACTACGAACATACAGATTTTCTACACCCCCTTCCATTTCTACATAGATGCAGCTTTCATGCTGTAATATCTGTATTATAGTTTTAGTCCTCCCTCATATTACTGGAGATATTCCTGCAAACTGTAAAAAACAGTTTGTGTTCAAAACATATTGGAATTTTTAAAAATATGATTCCAAACACTGGCTGCTTTTCAAAGAGCTACTTAAACTCCCACGAATGGGTTCGTGCTAGAGCAATGGAATATTTTACTCTTACAGGAACAGTTCCTACGCCTACCTCCCACTCCTGCCACATCAGAAACTCTGAAGTTTAACTCTTTGAAATTTAATACTCAGATGTATAAAGCAGGGAGGGGGAAAGGGACAGTGTGTAGCTTGTGTGAACTCACATTGTGGGCTCTCAAACGAATCTCTTTAGGTTTGCATCCTGACTAGACATGCGGACGAATAAAAAAATGGATCGCGATATTTATCAGAAATCGCTGATTCGTTAAATATTTGTCTCTTCATATTCATGGATTCCAGAGACCTCCACAAATATGAAGGGATGAATATTTTCCCATTTTTATTTATTCCCCCCTATGGCTTTCCCATTTCCCTATGGCTTTCCCATTTTGTCTACCGGCCTGCTGGGTGAGCTGATACGCAGCAACCCCCCCCCACTCCCATAGCCTATCCCCCAGCCCCTTTCTCTCCCTACCTTAGCTGCCACCCCCACTGAGCCCTGCACCGCCCCTGCCAACCCCTACCGTAATTGCCACCACAGCCAACTCCAGCTGGCCTCCACAGCGACAGCCTATAGAAAGGGATGTTGGCTGCCCTTTGCAAAGATGGTGGCTGCGGCTTCATTTAGGGTAGGGAAGCTGCAGCTGGCATCTTTGCAAAGGGCAGCCTGGATTCCCTTAGCTTGGGGGGGGGTCGGGGGCAGGGTTTTTTTAGTAACCTCCATGAATCAATAAATAAATTTGTGCTTTGTCGGTTTATGGGGGGGGGAGCTTCATGCTTCATCAACTTTGACAAATCATGAAGCAGGACGACTTGCCAAAATGGTGAGTCATCCCCATCTCTAACCCTGAGTGCTTTATATATGTGAGTGTGTTTTAACCTTGCATATTATATGGTAGAGTGTTTGTTAACAAAACATCTTTGCCCTCCCATCCCAGAATAATGAGGCGAGACTCAAATGTTGGGTTTAAACAGGGCCACACTTTATTAACCATAAAACTTCATCAACTCATAGCCCAATTCAAAACATGTAGTGTGGAATGATGCTGGTAGCGGAGGTCTCACAGGACCCCTTCTTCACAACAATGAGCAAGTGTCCTGCCCCGAGGTTGTGCAGTCCTGACGACAGTGCGCCCCCCGACGGCCATGAACTGACCACCCCAAGCCTCTAGCACCTTGTCCGTTGGCAGCCTTCGGCCTAGGGGCGTCCCCACCGTGTCCTCCACCCCTGCACCATAATCTTGCAATCCATGGCTCTGAGGGTTCGGATGCGCTATACTCTGCCTGAACTCCATGGGGAACTCACTGATCCATCTTCATTCCGCACTACCCACCAGTGTGATCAAAAGCAACCACACCCATTAAAACTGGCCTGAACCCCTTCACCAGTATGGGATAGGCAAAAAATCCCCACTCGCAACAGCCAATCAGCAAGTGGGTCAAAAATTCCTATCCAGCCCGAGCAGCAACCAGGAAGCCACATACTAGCTATAAGGGTGGGTGGGTGGGATTGCAAACCTAGAAAGAGGCCGATTGGGGTAGGAGCACCTGTTAAATAAGGCAGTCCTTGACTCTCCATTCCCAAATAGCTGGGGCATGAATAGCATGTCTTTCTCTGTTCCGATTGGGGAGGGCAAAGAGACTCCGCGTGGCAAAGTCCTTTGCCCAACATACTTAAAGGGAAAAAGTACAAACAGATTTTGAACCTAGTTTGTTGTCACATCTTTACAAATAATAGCTTTGGTCTTATGAGTAATGTGATAGTTTAAATCTTCCTAAAGTTTCTTCATGTGATCTTTTCATAGAATATTTTTAAAAGATATTTCAATGTATCTTAATGTTTTGTTACTCTTGTGTGATTGTCGGGGGTTTGAGGGGGAGAGGTTTTTTTATTGTGTTGAATAGTTGGAATAATGCACACTTAAGAAATTTCTTTGGTATCTAAGATAACTTTTGAAAATAGATGCTTTCTGTTGGGTAGTCAATTAAATCTGCAGCATGTGAAGGAGGCAGACCAAGATTACTGTATCTAGGGACTGGTGAATCATTCATAATACTACATTAATAGTTTTAAGCTAATTACATTTATGTTTTTTTCTTTCTGAAAAGTTACACAATTAAATCCATAAGTACTTCCTGAAATTCTTTGAAAATTAAAACTGATGCTACAGTACACAGGACAAGAAATTATTATTAGATTACTGAAGTACACTGTGGTTGCAGAGTTAAATGGCACAGATTCCTGTTGTCGGCATGAAGATAAGCAGCTCTGATGTTTCTGGTATATTTTTCAGAGAGCTTGCAGCTTTTTTAAATGTGCCAAATGATCTTGAAAATAAGCTGTCCTACAAGCTTGGTAGCATGGTAAATACTCCTTGGGTATAATTTCTGCTGCTGTGATTTTGCCTACTCTAGTAGTCGTTAGCTATATACTTTCTATCAAATGCAAGGCTGATACTGTATTTCGGGACATTAGAAAAATTGAGTCTTACCTTTGTTTCGTGTGGTTAATACAAATAATAAAAATAAATGCATATTCATTGGTAATCAAGCAAGGCTACTAACTGGCCAGACTAACTGGTCAGCAGCATCAGTTCATTCATATATATTTATAGGAAATAATAACAAATAGCAGATCCAACTATGGACTTCCAATGGGAGGACAGTGGAATGGGGAGAGGATGGTCCCCCTGCCCCAGTATGTTCCCCTGAGAATCCCAGATGTTTGCTCTATAGAGTTGTGAAACATGGAGCTCCCAGGCAGCTCTGAGACACACAGAGGAAGGAAAAGAAGGATGTTCCATCACACTGGTATTGCACTGTCAGCAAAACAGTGGATTTAAACCAAAATATGCAATATATGGGTCCATTCCACAGATTCTCATGTACAAACAATGAGCTGAGCAAAGACTGCTGTATATAAATACTTCTTTGTGACCTCTGTGAATCACACCGTGGGTAATCCACGCATGTGTGCAGCCTCATTGTACATTCTACAGCTTGTGTGACAGCAAAAAGATACATTAGTGCAGATCTCGTGAGCCTCGTGGCGCAGTGGTTAAACCGCTGTACTGCAGCCAAAACTGTGCTCACGACCTGGGGTTCAATCCCAGGTAGCCGGCTCAAGGTTGACTCAGCCTTCTATCCTTCCGCGGTCGGTAAAATGAGTACCCAGCTTGCTTGGGGGGGGGGAATGTGTAGCCTGCATAATTAATTTGTAAACCGCCCAGAGAGTGCTTGAAGCACTATGGGGTGGTATATATAAGCAGCACACTTTGCTTTACCATTCCCCTTGGTATATGTACCTTGGTCCCAAAGCTCTCCCTTCAGTTTCTTTCAACTGCCGTGTTGAGAGCCTCTACTGTTCCTTCTGCATGAAGAAAGTGAAAGAAGAGGAAAGTTACTCAATTTTCTTAATTTTTTTCCTAATATAACAGCTATTACTAATAATATATTTGCAGAACAAGAAGAAATATGCTCCAGCCTTAGGGCCGAAGCAATTCCTTGCCCCGATAACTGATTTTCAGTTCATGGCCTCTTCTGGCCCATTTAAGTAATGCATGTCCTGCAATAACAAGATTTTGCTCTCAGACAGCCACACTAAATATGGTACCCTTTTTTGCCTCAGTGCAGCTCATCAAACGTCATTGTCTCCTCATTGCAAAAACTCCACACCACCTCACCTCAGTTTAAGCTTCAGCTCTGGGAACTATCTCTTGAGCTGCCTAAACCAATGGCTGCAAGTCCTTATCCCCTGCTAAAGCCATGGACAGAGCAGTTTCCGAAGTGGTGAAACAGCGCCCATCAGCTACTCCATCTCACTCTGTTTCTGTGCCTTCCATGGTCACACGAGTGCATAAAGCCAAACAGTCAAAGTTGAAGCCCTTGTCATCGAAGATAGTGCTAAAGAGGAAACTGTCCATGGATGCTACCTCGGCACTTGATACTTCGCCACTGAAGAAGGCTAAGTCCTCGAAATCAAAGCCTCTTACAGCTGCCTCCCCAACTCCTGAACCACCAGAGTCTGGAGATCTGGTCTGCATCAGTTCCCTTTCAGATGAGGAACCACTTCCACCTCACCAACAGTCACCTTTGCAGTCTCCTGAATGGGAACAGAGGGTCGACCACCTGACA